TAGGCTAAACATATTTGGCATATCTGCAAGCCTGTTCCTGATTTATTGTTGTTACATATTAGGACATTATTATTATAGATTACCCCTATGACTTAGACATCAGAGAAGGCATGCTAGAGAGGTCTGGTTTGCAGTCTAATAAAGGTTGATTTCACTCTGCAGCCATTTCCTCAGCAGCGTTTCTCCATTAGCTGTASAGTTTCACCAAGTTTGTAAGCACAYAGTATTCTGAGATCTCACCTCCTTGTCCGACTGAAGTGAACCTGAGAAGTGTGTTCAAAGGTTACCGCAGGGGTGAGGGGAGAGACARCACATTATCAGATAAGCCCAGCTTCCTTAGGAAGTCAGCTCAAATTAACAAGCACAGATTCTTCTCCCACAGAGATGCAGATGGAAAACACCTAATCATGTGAACAAAGAACAAAGCAAAGGGGTGAAGGTTAAGGGACACTAGTGGCMAAAAGAGAATTTTTGATCTCCCAGGCTATTGTGCTGTGCAGAAGGAAACATCTCAGAACCATTTACACGCTTGTGTTTTAACCCATTCAAAATTTTTCTTGATACTTACTACAACTGGCAAATTAATATTCTAAGGGGATAAAGGATGYATTTGTATAAATCTGATTCAGCTACACACATTTCCTGATATGCTTGAATTTGGTGACCTCACAGTAGACACACTTCCTTGAATTCTTGTACTTTGCAACACAGYGTGGAACAAGCAAAGTGAGCAAAGGCATACAAATCTGATTACTTTGCATAGATAAAAAAAATCTCTTATCATGACTCCAGTGGCTATTCACTACGCCTTTTCAATACTTGACACAGATGCAAAGCAAAGAAACAAATGCAGTCACATTTATTTTTGCAGTACATAAACTGAGRATCCAAAGAAAACACACAGAGAATRTTTCCCACTTTTGCAGTGCTGACTGCATTTTACTGATACGCAACTGAAACAAAACGTAAACCAATTATTCCAAAGCACGTTTCAGTTTTGGAGGTACTGTTAGCCTCTGTGTAGTTCTCAAGACAGCACGTCTTCAGAGGAAAATGTAATTTGCCCACATTGTCAACTGCACTTTACTCAATGTCAGGTTCAAGRGCCAGACCACATCACTYAGACTTTAYAAAAAACACTGCAGAATAAAGTTGYTGTTCCTAAAARGAATGAGGTTATCTGCATAAATCTGTCCCTGCTGGTTCTCTTCAGCTCATATGTTCTTATGAACTCACAAACGTTAAAGAAGTTGACCTTATTAATGAAAGAGTYTATTTCCCTTAATCTGGAAATGTACAAAAACTTATTTTGAACTATATGACCTTTAATCTTCTTTCCATCACAGGAAAAGCCTAATTAGTTTTATAAGAGAACACTGATAATTTCTGAAGCAATTCCAAGTGCATTTTTTTTTAAAACCGGCAATGACCCAAGGGCTGGAATCCTTCATTGTTTACAATGAAACCTGTGGTATTCAAATTATTTTTAAGGTACAATGAACCAAATCCAAAGAAAGTGTCTCTTCATGTGTACAAAGAGCATATAAATAGATCAAATGCTGAAATGTGGCTTTCACATTAAATAATATATTGAGGATAAAGAGCAACAGTTATGTGATATCCTTTTAGAGTGAATGTAAAGAATGAGAGTCACTTACGAGAAATAAATTGATTTTTYTTTTACCAATCAAGGAAATGTACAATTCCTGAAACTATAGATCTATATTTTCTAAGCAATTCCTGTAGTACTAATCTTTATTGAGACTAAAAGCTCTCATGGGCTGTTGCAGTTCCTCTCTTAATAAGTATCTGATAGATCACATGAAGACATACTGAGCATGCTATCATGTACGACCACCCTTCCACTGGGGTGGGCAAACACTTTCCTCTCTTCTCTGCTCCCAAGTGAACCCTCAATGCTGCCATTCCCTTTCTAATCTTGACAAAAGAGTAAGGTCTACAATAAAGTACGACACTATAAGAACAAGTCAGTCCACGTGTAATTACATAGCAGTGGCACTTCCTTTGTTTTTTTCCTTCACATGTCATTTTAGTTTACTTTTTTTCCCCTGGACTTCTTCACTTACGCATATATGCGTGCATATCCCTACTGTTAGATGACAAAGTGTGGGGGAATTAAGTACTCAGAAATACAAATATTGACTTCTACAGCTGAGATACATCAGAGCTGGTCTCTTTCCTAATTAACTCTCATTGATGCAAGCTATAAGAAATTAAGCACTTCATGCATGTACATGGGACTCACTCTCACACCTGCTCACTGTATAGTACTGCCTCGTTCTCCTGCTGTTCACAGCTTCTGCTGGAGCCAGGGACCCRAAAACAGGCAGGCACATTAATCCAGGTGTCTAAAAGCAATACTACTCATACTTTTCTCTCTTGTTGCTCTCACAGAGGTCCSTACAAAGGGTGTATGGTCCACTTGCAGATCTTGTAACAGCACAGCAACCCAGTGCCTCAATATAAACTTACTCCATTTTATTCCCTCTACAAACATGCAGCACTTCCTTAACTTGCCCTAAYTGAAACAAATAACTTACTGCAGTGCCTAATGCACAATATGTAGTTGTTTTACAATTAAATTAACACYCAGCTTTCCATTTCAAATAATTTAGACTGACTGTTTGGTTTAGGCAGAACATTGTCTAAAAAGAAAACATAAAGGAAAGGTCATGTTTTGTTTTCAACTTTTGCTAGATGACTTCAAATAGAATTCAAACATAGTCTAAAAATCTCTCAGTCCCCCCCAAAAAAGACACTAAAAATTACTAAGTTTTTTCAGAATAATCAAAATGAGAAGTTTGTATCTTGCCTGTTGGCTGGGTTTTTCTATCTTAGAAAGTTTCTTTATTTTCCTTGAYGTAAAAAAATATAGCAGCCTTTAAGCATTTCACGGAAGGTCTCAGAATGGAAAATACTGCTATRTAAGTACTTTGCAAGGGGATTGTCCTSGTTTCAACAGGGAAAAAATACTTAAGCAAACTGCACCATTGAAACGTTGCTCAGCAAAAGAAACAAAGCAATGAAGATATGAACTACAAAAAATAATACACAAGATGGCTAGGACCCATGATTTTTACAGCTGTAAAATAAAACAATGCCCTTCTGCAATTCGTTTCAGAACTTAAGAAAAGCAGTGAATTGAGAACCTRTAAGTAACCCACAAGAAAGTGCTGAGAGCATTTGCAAGGGTAATGATGCCACACCTAATTTAAAACTGAAAGCAGCTCATACAAGATTGAGATTGCTACCAATAGGACATAGAGTGAGTCAATTCCACAAGCCTCTTCTGACATGATTCATGCTTAGAATAAGAAAACAAAACAGAAATTTTCATGGCCACATCTCAAATCTTCACAACACTTTCACATGACCATCCCTATAGCATCTGTAACTTGCATCAGCCTCTTCTGCCTCAATCCTCCCTTGAAAGTGAGGTTCACATACTAAAGTTCTTTCTTTTTTTTCTTTTTTTTGTTCTGTGGGGTGACTATAAAAAAGGGCTGAGGAGAGGAAAAAACAACCTTGGATTGTTGGAATCACAAACAAGTGATTCCAACTTTTCTATCTAGGCTTAACAGGGCTTTTCCTTCCTGCTATTATTAGTAAATCTCACAGTTTATTTCTCTCAATATTGAGCTGGCAGATAAAGCACAAAAGAAGAAGGATTTCTTACTTATTAGCTTCTGACACCAATAAATTCTGTATACCTACACACTGGAATGGAAAAATCTCTTCCTGTGGAAGGCTGTTCATCACATTTTTCATGCATTGTTGCTGATATGTTTAACTTTTTTGTTTCACAACTCAGCAATGAAGCAGCTATTGTTTTCAAAGTGCTGACAAGTCCRACTGCGGGAGGGAGAGACAGACGTGCGACAATTCTCAATGGTCTCTCTGGTGGCTGTGGGCTGAGGTGCCCAGACACGGGGAGAGAGAAGGCAGGGTCAAGGGGAGAACTGGAAAATTCTGAATGTAGTTATATGAATCATATATTCTGTTTTGATACATTTTTAGTTTCTATTCCACTATTCTATTCCTTAGGAAAAATTCTACTCTTCATGCATCTAATCAGGTCCATCCAGAGACACGGCACATGATGCACAAGGCCAAGCACATCATTACAAGTTCACCTGTCTAAATCTAGAGCCTGGCAGAACCTTTTATTTCATGGTATGAAACACAAACRCATCACTTTTTTCTTCTTTTTGTGAAATATTCTTCTACAAAAGCTCATGTCAATCTCACCACGAAGCAAGTCATTCGAACTCATAAAGCATTATGCAAATAATACCACCTCAAGGATCTTTGGAGAGTACACTGCTTTTCCCATTTCTGCAATCTTCCATACTAAAGAGCTATTCATAGAATCTGTACAAAGACTACATATGCAAAACATATTTAGATAACAATGCATATGCACAGAGATATAAGTACTTGACTTTAGAATAGTATACGCAGAAAATATCTGTAAGCCACTGCAGAAGAGCATAAAAATATCAGATGTACATGTAAGCATTAGGAATGAAAGTGACAAAAATCTTATTTTGTCCAAATAAGAAAATTTTAAAAACTAAAACAATTGACTACCATTACAGGTGGCAAAGATTATAATAGTTATTAATCTAAATGGTCATTAATTCAAAACAAGAGWTCGAGTGGAGGCAATTTTAACCAATACTTGCTTAATTCTGAAAGTGATCAGCTCATCAAAAAGCTGGGTTTAGATTGCAGCATCTTATTTATCTTAGTTCTCAGGTCTCATGAAACAAGCAGCTAAATGCTATCAGAGATCACCTGTGCCTTCTGATGAGAGGGTATTTCACAGCTGTGGAGTGCTGCTCATGACTAACTCACTGCAGATTTATGCAAGATAATAAGCCTCAGTAACCACATATATGCACATATTGCTCTGGAATCCATAAACACATAAGTATATGACTAATTCTAACTTATGAATGAAGGCAACACAAACTCACATTTGCACTGTTAGCAGGAGCCCAACTGCAGGAGCTTAGTCTTCAGTACAGGAGAGCTGAATGCTGAACTGGGCAGTCACATGAGGCACCTGAAGTTAAAACACTCACATATAATCCATTGCTAAGAATGCTATACTTGAGGATCACTCAGAAAAATGTGGAATTGTCAATACACATTCTATGTTTGAGTATGTGGAGAGGAAAATTAACATTATTTTGCTGAAAGCTTGTTAGTGACCTAATTCTACAGCAGCTATTGTAATACGGAGTGCTTGCTCCCATTTCTGTCTACAGCAATCACTGCCCAAATTCCAACCCAGAACTACCTACTGATTAGCAAACATGCATACACCAGGCTAAAAAGAGAGCAGAGAAGAACCTAGTGTTTTCAAGGATACATTCTTTTCATATTAACACCAGCTGCACTACTCATTAGTTGAAACATGAGAAAGGAACCGGAAAACGTTCAATTTTTAAAGTATCAGTTATCACAGCTCAAGCAAATGAATACATAAAAGCCACTGAAAATAAAAGYCCTCACAACTTTTTCTGCATGGATTGGGCTACCTTACAAAAGCCCTTGATCCAACAACACAAGAGAAAAACTAGCCATTCATTAGCAGTGGAAATGGTTTTATCCAGTACAAAGTCGATTTATACTCAGGATCAAATTATTACTATGAGCAGTTCGGGTCTGAGAGATCAACTGTTGTTGCAAAGGCTAAAACAATGCAACTATTTAATTCAGCAAGGTTACTTGGTCACAGTTCTCAATTACCTACGTAGAGAAAGGATTTTAATCTACTATAAAAGACATGAGAGGAAATGCCATGAAGTAGACGTCCACTGAAAAGTGAATGCTTTGAGAAGTAAAACTAATTAAATATTGGCAAAGATTTTCAAGGGAGGAATGAAGTCACTGAAATAAAAAATAAGATTGGATGTATTACTAAGAAATTCTAAATACRGGTCCAATGCAAGTCTTCCTAGATTAGTGCCTTTAGTTCATATCACTCCAACATCAGACTAGATTAGCACAAATCATGCATAGATCTCACTTTAATAAGGATATTAATGGTGAAGGAAGATGACATATATGGGACAAAATACAGACTTTGAGGTAAGATTTAAAATAAGGATCACATAACATCTTGCTAGATTTACATCTAGATTGATTCTGTCATTTGAAATACATGGCAACATTTGATCAAAAATTTCTCATCATCCTGAAGAAAGAAACAGACCAATCACATTTAGTTTGGAGAAGGTTGTTCTATATTGGGAATTGTGACAATGTTGCTCTAGCAGAAGAATTATGAGTTACATGCCTTGAGACCTGTGCAACACAGACTTCCCACAGCCATGACCTTTGGAAATGCGTGGAGCAGGGGGAAGGAGGGGAAAAGGAACAGGTAGACTCTAGGGAACAGATATAATTATCCTCACAACCAGGAGAAGCCCTAAAAGAGTTTGACGTTTATGTTCACCTCACACACACAGCACTTTAGTTCTTCTTGCACATAAGACAACACTGAAGTCTACAATATCAATAAATCACTTTAGGTTGGTTTTTTTTTTTTTTTTTTCTCTCACCTCCTCTCTTATTTCTGCCTAGGATTAAACATTAGAAGCTTATCTCCTTGGTTTTAGCTCCAGGGTAGCTGCAAAAACCTCAGAGGTCAAACATCTCTTGCTACAAGTGCTAATTGCRATCCAAAACATGAATTATTGTTAAAATTAGTTATAATTGGAGTACTTATAACTCACATTCACTTTTGGGCTTCAGAATCTGCAGAAGCTCCATCTATAATACTGACTATTATAATTTTCTTTCAAAGTTCATTTGATTTAGGAAGCATTTTTGACCTGCAGTAATATTAAAACCMATTATTTGAGAAAGATATTTTGAAGCTCTGTCCTCACTGATTTTATACTTAAGAGAGGCCATTAGATCATCCAGTTCAAGAAGGGCAAAACCATGATCTGCCATACAAACAGASTTACATCACATGATGAGCAGCATTGCTGTCTTGGCACAAGAGCTTCTGGCAGACTGTGCTAAGTCCTGTTTGCAAAGGAGAAGGGCTGCCAGGCTAAGGCAGATACCACCAAATAACCCCAAAATGCAGCTGCCTGCCCTGATCAGCCTCATGCTGAGCAGAGACAAGACTCTTCTTCCACATGTTCAAATTTCCYTCTCTTCAGGGCTCTCCAAGGCTCTCCAATGTGGGATGCACAACTCTCAAGTATGCAAATTACTAGAAATGCAGCTAATAAAGGTACAAGAAATATGAATACCAGATATTCTCAGACCACCCTGACAGACTGCAGTGTGGAGGTGTCTTCCCTCACAGCCTCAATGCTGCAGATGGGYTCACCTTCACCTTCAGGTTTGAGACCACCCTGCCTGAGTCTGGACTAGACAACAATGCAGCAAATGGCCTGGGTCACCAACCAGGCTCCAAATAAGCTTCTTCTGTGCTTCTGTGCTCAAAGTGTTTAAAATGAAGAAAGTGCAATTTTTAAAGCTTTAAACTGAAACGTGTGTCATGCCCAAGGGCACAATGTGGGGGGCATTCAAGGGCATGAAGCCACCTGGGAGAGAGCTGGCTTGCGCTGTTCACCACCCTAGCCAAGCTTGCCATAGGCCATATTCATACCATCCAGAAAATATGCTTAACTGTGCTGTCTAGTCAACTGAGCCTGCATTTCCTCTTGGAGGGAAGTAACTGATTTATTCAGGGAGCAAAACGAGCTTAAGTGGATGGCTGAGGCCCAGAAGTAGAACATGGACCATTTCTGAGCCAGATTGACAGTGTAAACCACCCTCAACCACCCCTGCTACTTGTACTTTTATTATACCTTTAAGCAACTTGTGCAATAATGACAAAATTATGCAAGCATAAGAAGCATTCCAGTATACTTTTCAGACTGTTTATCACCTAAATAAAACACTCAAATACACTGTTTTATTTAAATTTCATGGTTATGCACAACAAACTATCAGGTAACCTTGATATGAAACTATCAAGGTTTAGTCAATATTATAAAGCTGTTATCAGTGCAGCGGTAGGTACAAAGCAAGCACAAATACATGTTTGTATTTTTGGAACACATGAATATTCCAAAAGAAAGTACTTTTGACTGAAGATCAAAATTCAGTCAGCTATACTGGCAGAGAACATTGGAATAACTCATCAATATAGAATAATTCTCCTACAAAACAAAACAACCCAAAGAACAAAATGAAAAAAAAAAAGAAAACCCACCAAAAACTTAAAAAAAAGCCACTCCAGAGTAATTTCTCAGTCAATGTTACTGTATCACTGAAACTAGCTGACTGGGGAGGAGAATGCTGCAACATAAAATCAGGCTCAAGAAAGAGCCACTTTATCGACTTAAGGAAATTTCAGGACACTGAGGCTGGCTGAAAGGCTGTGCCTTTGTTTTTGCAGGATACTGCCCCTGAACTGCTGGGTGTACAGATGAGAAAGGAGATTACACTCCCTGACAACACATGGCCCAAGAGAGGGGAGAGATGGTCCTAAAACCATCTGCCGACACAGCAGTCCATCCAACCTGCCAATACAGCAGTCCCTCCTCTACTATGGGCTATGCTGAGGGTCTGATTTTTGGCAGGGTAGGGAAGTGAGGCAGAAAGAGCACAGAATTGCCACAGTGCTGTCCTTGTTTCCATGACATGTGCTTTTATAACTTGTGCTCCCTGAGGTAAAAGGCACAATTTGGACTCAACAGCTGACAACTCAGCAGTTCTTTGCCCGTGGGATAAGGGAAGGCTGGTTCTGTTCTGTTGTAGCAACAGTTGACCTCATGCCAGTGCCAGCTCCAGACAGTGCATGGAMAGGAGGGGAGACATGTGCCCTTCAAAACCTTACACCCTGACCAACATTCATACCAATGGCTTAGGAGTTATTTTTAGCTTAAGCACTTTCTGCTTGCAGTGAAACCTGCTACTAGGAGTGATTCCAAGAGAMAGCAGCAGGGAAAGGCAGACCGCAGCAAAGTGGCAAAAGCCACTGTTGAATTTCTGGCGCTTGCAGGAGTTCAAGGACCTTGCAGACACAAAGCAGGAGGGCTCCCACAGTCCGTAAATAGAGGGACTGCAAATTTTCCAGAGGAAGGAGGGTAGCAATGAGCAGCAAAAAAGTGATGTTGCTTATGAAAAGCAGTCCCCAAATATATTTCTCAGGGACAGATAAGAACTTCCAAAGATCATTTGTTCTAATTAAAATCTGTTAGTTTGTAAGTCAGTAATGAGAGAAGGCAAAGAACACAGGAAACATCTGTGTTTTCTAGTGATAGATATCCTAGCTGCCCCTCAAACCCTCAAAAGACAKGTAAGAAAAGCGGTCTGCTCATCTAGGAATTTATATGGCCCTTACCATTGCCATGCTAATGACTACGGAAGAAATCCATACAATTCTAGAAGATGATCTTTGAAGACATTTAAGCACATATAAAACCCAAACTTTTCATGCTTCAACCTAAAAGAAACATGCTCCAAAATCCCACTTAGCTGCAAGCAAGCATTACAGAGGAAAAAAAAAAAAAAAAGGGGAAGTGATGATAAATTTTGTAGGCATAAGCATGCACAGATGCAATCTCATCTTTGACAGGGCCATACTCCCTGATACTTAAACACTTGCCTGATGCTTAAACACTTAAGATTCACAAAGCAATTACTCCCTGCTTGTATCTGCTGATAAAATGAGCACAGAACCATAGAATCTGGTTCCAAAGAAAAAAGCTGTCGCTGTTGTTTAAACACATAGGAAAAGAAAGTAGCAGGAGTATTCCCTTTTTTGAGGGAACCTAGTCACTGCCACGCTTGCTGGGGTATCAGAAACACCTTTGACCACCCCCWGAGACTACTAAAAGTGACAGATGACTCAGGGTGAAGACACCTCCAGCTCTTCTGTCATGGCATTTCTCTCTGAAGCTTAGGTAAGCATTGACTCAGTATAGTACTCATGTCCTTGTGAAAGGGCACTCACTGGAAGYGGTAGACCATGGTCTCCAGCTCTTGGTCCCAAGGACTATTTTCATCTTTTACATTAAACTGAACATTCACAGAACAAAATGTATCAACCAGTTTTGGAGCATAGAGCACCTCTCAAGTCTCATCTAGAAGCAATTTATTTTTCTTATTTTTAGATGGAAATCTGATGCTTAACAGTCAAAAAGTAATCATAATGAAATCTCATGGGAAAAGAAAGGGGTCCATCTGCATCAGCCTTGTGATATACTGCACTGCAAGAAAGAGTCAGTATTTACAAATATCTAAGTTGTTTAAGATTGCCAGACACTTTCTTCTGGAAGTTTTCATCTTTCAGATKAAATTCTTGCTAACATAGAGAGTTTAAACATACCTTATTCACAAAGCACCGTATTTGCTGTCAGTCACTCATTGGATTAAGTAATCCAATATACATACTCTAAGARAGCTGATTCTAATACATTTAGAGATTCTGCTCTAGCTTTACCTATGGWTGTTAATAAATTCAAATTTTTTTTACATTTTCTAAAACTTTGAGCTGCATSATGTGACCTTACAGGCATAGATTATAACTCAACAAACATTGAAAATTAAAGCTTTATGAACACCTGCTAAGAGTAGCAGCAGCAGCTTTGTCACCGTGAAAAAGCTTTCCTCTCTTTCAGAAGAGCATCTCCACCCATATGGCTGTTCCTGTACATTCCCCATTTGCCTTCGCAAGTCTGYGAGAATGCCCTCATCTAAAGGTTAAGTCTTTCCCTTCCCTCAGCACASCTGTGAAGGGATTTTGCACAATCTAACTCACAGATAATGCTTGCCACTGGTTGCTGTACCTGACTAAAGTGGTGTGTTTGTAGAATGCACAATGGAAACTGTTATCACTTAATAATACTGAYAGAAGTTTGAATAGGTGAAACAGTGATAAGATGAAAGGATGCAAAGACTTAGTAAACAGAAAGAAAACAAAATCAGCTGATCTACTGACTCCCTAAAAGTTATATTCCAAACCAGCTCCAACTTAGTGATTTTTAAGCTTTCCTTTTGTAAATTTCTGTAACATTTTCCAGGGTAGATCACAGCCCTGCAGTCTACTGACACTAGACTGTCTTTCCTTAGAGGAAACCTGTCAGAGGTAACCTGCAGACCCATCTCCAGCTAATGACCAGCAAATCATGTCGAGAAATACCAGCCAAGCACAGATATGGTGCTACTTGTGCTGTGGATATATATATGGCATTTGCTTCTGTCTCTTCCACATCCAAATCCCCCCCTTCATCAAAGAAAATTTTTGTTTTGATCTTGATTCACATTGTGGCCAAATCCAGGAGACTTCTATGTCTATTCCCACTACTATGCACAGAAATCAACAGAAATCAAARCTTATCTGGATCAACAAAACTGTGTTGCATGAAACGGTTGACAAGCTAAGGACAAGCACAAACTTTTTGCAGATCAARGCATTCATGCATTCTTCCCCACAGGATGTGCAAAGCTTAATATATAAAGCACGTGGACACTGATGGATCTACACCAAAAAAACATACTTCTCAGCTGGCATTGCCACATGCTGATTTGAGGGAACATGGCATGACATAGAGTTTAATCTTTCCAACAGCTACTAAACCTGCTTAGTCTTATTAACAGTCTGGGTTCATGCTGTGGGGTTGAACAAAGGGTTTAGGAAGAATTTAAAGAATTCTTCTATTGCAAGGAGAAAAGGCACAACAGACTTTCAGGTGAGATGTCAAAGGCAAGTCACACTGCCTTACTTAGATAACAAGCAGAGTCCCAAATACAGCAGAAATCTTCCCAGTTTCCAGGATTCCCTGAAGTAAATTTGACAGGGCATGGCCCTGATAATGGAATACCATTATTTAACTATTTTTACAATAGTAATTTTAAGYGTGAAAATCTGTTGAAAAGAATCAGTGATAATTCCTACACAACAGCTCCCCATCCCCATCTCCCCAGTATTAGATGTTTATAATACCTATCCAAATCTTCACTACCATTCATAGGAAACTTCCCAGGCATTCACCACCAACGAGAACTCAAAAACAAATCACGCATATACCAATTCCTACCGARGTACCACACAGCATGCCAGCACAACATACCCAAATCTACACGTTGAATTTTAACAWGGGAATAACGTTCTTTCAGAACGACCTCAAAGGCTTTCAGAGATGGTTTTCAAACACGGTATCTACACAATTAGAAATTCAATCACTCAAAACAGACACAGCTGCTGCGAGTCCCTGCACAGCCAGTGCGCAGCGAGGCGCCGAGCATGTCTGGATGCTCCCCAAACACAGAGGGGCTCTGCAGTCCCCTCCTAATGTACATTTTTCAAAAGGGTGCTACATATYTGTAAATAAAATAAAACAAAACTRAATAAAAATTAAATCATCAAAATATGAACAAATAGTATTTACCCGCTGCTCAGTCCTTAAGCCAGCCAACCTGCCGGCCAGCAGAATGAGCTGTTGACAAAACACAGCCTCTATTTAAGTCGCAGGCTCCGGCAGCGGCAGAGAGGAGCCGCCGGTCTCCCCCCGCGCCGCGGTCTGCGCCCGCACCGGCTCCGACCCCCGCCGCGCCCCCGSCRCCRCCGCCACCACCGCCACCACCTGTCCCCAGCCCCGGCCGAGCCACAGCAGAGACACAGCTCCGGCTGAGGGGGGTCTCCGAAAAACCCCGCCGCCGCGCTGCGTCCCGGCGGGGCTGCCAGCCCCCCCTCCGCCCCTCCCGACCGGCACCTCCCCGGGGCGGGCAGAGCGAGGGAGGGATGGAGGGAACATCCATCATCGCGCCCCTCGGGCCGCCCCCTCCCAGGTGCGAGCGGCCGGGAGCGGGCGCCCGGCGCGGTGCCGCACTCACCCGGCGCCGCCCGGCCGTGCCCTGAGGGGGCCGCATGCCGCGGGTGCGCGGGCGGTGCGCGGCGCGGCCCAGCTCCGGCGGCAGCAGTGCGCAGCGCCGACAGGAAGGAGGGATGGAGCCGCGGAGGGAGGGAGGGAAGGAGGGAGGGAAGGAGGGAAAGACAGGGAGGGAGGGATGGAGGAGCGGGTCTGGCGGGCTGCCCGCGGGAGGAGCCTGCGCCGCGCACCGCCCGCCGCCGCCCCCGGCCCTGCCCCGGGCACCGCCGCCTCCCGCCGGCTCGCATGGCCCTGTTCGGCCCCGCCGCCGCAGCCCCGGTGCTGCCGGGCCGAAGCTGCCCGGGGCTGTGGGCTGACGGCGCTCTTGGCCGCCTGGTGGGGCCCGAGCTGCCGGGGGCACTGCAGCGCCCACGGTGTGGCTGGTCCCCAGCGGGCTGTGGCGAGTGTGCCTCCGGGAGGGTGAAGGCGCGGGTCTCGTCTGAACCTTTCAGGTTTTCTTCCGTAACACTGTCAAATTACCTTGGAAAAGTACCGTGAATACTTCCAGACCTCCAGAGCTGGACGCGGTAGGCTGGGCCCTGCAGACCCAAGGCAATTCTTGATTAATTTAATCTTCGTATTTGCCACTAGTTGTTGAGGTCTGGGACTTAACCTCCAACATTTCTTTGAAGCCACAACTGTTGCATGTCAGCCTCTCTTTCAAATTAAACTTGAAATCCTCACAATCCCACAGTCTCAAGAGTCGGGCAATTAAAAAAAAAAAATGCCAAGAGACCCATAAAATCAGAAGAGTTGGCAAGCCTCTGGCTTCTCTCTTGTGCCCCAGTCAACCACAGGAGAATAGGGAGAAAAAGTAAGTGCTGGATTTTCTTGCATTTTKCTGCCTACATTTTTCCTAGTGTGGTTTTCCAAGTTGCTGCAGATTCTGTGTTTGTCTCSGAACCCAAATGACAGAGAACAGCAAATATGTGCATGGAAGTCCTGGGCCAGACTTGTATCACATGTTGGGTAAGTTGATCATTTCAGGTCCCCAAATCCAGGCTCTTCTGCTATCCTGCACATTGCCTTTACAGTCTAATTGAATACGGGCTATTCTGTAGAGAAGAAATCTGCCACTATTCTATCCCCTTTCCAGCATTTTTACTTGTGCAAGCAGAACTGAGGCTTCAGTAGACCAGCAAGATGGATGTGAACATTATGGTTTGATCATGCATTGAGATATTTGACTTCAGATCTATTCTAATGCAAGTACCCGCTTCCTTGAACCCCGAGACATTTGTCTGTGGCCTGTGTCATCTCAAGAGGGAGGATTGAATCTCCTTATACATCTCCCATTCCTGGATTTTTTTAAACCTGGTTTGAAGAGAAGCCCTGGGCTGTGAATCCCAAGCAGAACATTGAACACTGATGCACACTGAAACACTCACAACTCCCAGGATAGACAGACTTTTAGGGAAAATCCCTATTAGGGGTCTTCTATTTAGGTTTAAGCAGTTGCTTTTCTAGCACATCGGTCAGCCTTTCACAAATCTCCCCCACTGTAAAGGTCTGCTAAATGGCTAATTCTGTCATCAAGACTTTGCTCCAGTACAAAGAGGTTTGATATGTCAGCTGCCTCAGAATTTTCCCATTTAGTTCCCATTCTAGCCCAGAAGCCCTTCTACCCTCTTTCTGTGCAAAAGCAGCCAAATCAAAATGAAACTGGGAATACGTATAGCTGCATTAAGGTTTGAGGAGAAGATGGCCATTTCATTGTACACCTCTSTTCAAGGGAGGACTACCTCTGTCTTTTTCTTTTCCCAGACCTCATTAACTGGATCCTAGAGCCCTCTCTAGAGTCTAAATCTGAGTTTCATGAGGATGTAGCCATGGATGACAGATACAAAAACTGTCTTTCAAAGGCACTGAAAACATTAAACAAAATTGTACCACCTTCCTTTTCTGCAGCTAGAGCTATTTCAACTTTACTAAAGGCTCACAGATATCTCCCTTGTCAGAAAGCCCATTACCATGTGCATCATTCCATCAGAAGATTTGGCAAATTTTCCAGATCACCAAACCAAACAACAGTAATTTTTACTATTTTCTCTTTTTAAATRGCAAGGTAGCTTGCCTGTAATTCACAGACATTTCATACAGGAAGTGATGTTTTTTAAACAGAAAAATTTGATTGTGAAAATATAAGAAGCTTCCAGGAGAAAACAGAGGTTGAGGTAGTTCCTGAGGTTATTTTAATATTTTGATATTGTAATAATGAGTCAGTTTTCTGTGACTCAGTTGGAAGTTAAGAGACAGAATTTCTAGGTCTGATATGTTTTAAGACAAGTCTGCGTAGCACAAGTTTCAAGATGATAGGACCACAGATGGTTGGTGTCAGTTATCTCTTTTTATACAGTGAMATATGTTAATTTTAATATAAATATCACCTAGATAAATGACTGGCTTAATTAGCCTGCTACTTCTAATCTGGGGTAAATATGCTATCTGTGCATCCAGTCTCATGATGACGTCTCCTCCGTAAAATATCATAGCTGCTGTATTTTATTAGGGRATTTATCTGCATAGAGTACACACACGAAGGCCATTCATTTTGTTTCCTGCCTTATCTCTGTTTTCCAGAAAACTGAAGGACAGATGCTGGAACACACAACTGTGTCTTTATATAGTCAGYGTAAGATCTTGTCGTTGATGTCAACAGCAGCAGGGCTGTGCCTTTCAACACTAGTATTTTGGACATCGAGAGGGWGAGGTTTAAGTCTCTATGGAAAGCAGGCTAGCTTCAGTTTATCTTAGTCTATCTCAGGGCTTAGTAGAACTTAGCGAACAACAAATCTGCTGTCTMGGTCAGAAAAAAGTTCTTGTGGCATGTAATTTCAAATGAAAGTGAGAAGTCCAGCTAGGMCATTTTCATTAATGAGAGTTTCCTGGAGCCATTTAGTCTTGTGTTTAAGGGTGTGTTGGTTATTTATGGCAGAGAAAAGGAACGGATGTGTTGATGTTCTGGAACTTTTCCTTTGTGCATTGTTTCCCATTTCACAGTTGTATTTGGCACCTACTTTCCTCCAGCCAATACAGAATATTAAAGAACTTCCTTTGCTGAGAAGTTGTGTTCACATTTTACAAACCATGCAGTTTAACCAGAGGTTTGAAAGGTAGTACTTCCAGSAGCATTTACAAAAGGCAGAAATTGCAAATATATGTTATTGCCAGCAAAGGTCTGCCAATGGTTGTTTTCCCATTGGCCATCCCTGTTTTCTTTAAAACGAAATTATATAATACGACCAACAAAGCATATTTGGGTCTGACTGAATGTRTTCAGGAAGGCCAATGACTAAACTCAGATTGGCTGTGATAAACACAGGAGTAACCTCTGCTTATGCCAAGAATAACCTCTAGTACTGCAGATAGTGCATGTATTTTGGTGCACTCACAAAGCAACTGTTCTTTTCTACWAAGTCTCAGTGGAAGCATCTCTGTGTTGTCAAGCAGACACAGAGCTTTTCTTGGAAATGAGGACACTGACCCCAGAGAAATAAACTCTTGGTAATTAAGAATTTTCAACTACAGAGAATTTTCTTCATCATTAAGGACCTGTGCCTGTAAAATYCAGGGACATGTTGGCAATATATTGCTAAAGGGCTTCAAAAAATTCCCTGGTCTTTCTTGTCTGCAGGGAAAACCATGCAGTCTATTGTGATTTTTGTGTTTGCAGGGAGAAGCAATGAAGAACTTTAATCTACTGACCTGCACTAACTTTGATAGTGCCATGAATTTAAAAAGAAATGGGAAGAAAAACAGTACTTGCCAAAACCAATTAAATTTAATGCACTTGCATTCCTTTCACTGGAAAAAAAAAATCTTCCTCAGATGCCTGGGAAATACATGGTGTTGAAATACTGGTCTCACTGCCAGTAAATAAGACCCTTATGGTTGGCAGTGAAAGTAAAGCTTCTCCCATGTGTTACAGAGGTGATAGGAGATGCATTACATTGCCACACATTGCCAAATACTAAGATATTGGTGTGACAAATGCTGGGGTCATTTGTGTGTAGAACAGAGGACAAGGTTACCAACTCTGAGTCTTCACTTGGAGCCTTGGATCTGTCTTCACTGGTACCTACAAACAATTCTTTTGAACAGGTCTTTTATATTGTCCTGAGTCAAGCAGTTGTGCAGTGATCATGCCTCAGACCCTTCCTTGCCTCACTCTACAGAACCTTTTGGAAAGTTTCTGCCCATCACCTTATTTCCTCGTTTTCAGATCTTTATGGCCACTTTAGTGCCTTCCTGTTGAGATGTCATCTGAGCCCATGTTATCAGAGCACAGTGTTGGGGGTAATGAGTTGCCTTTYATTAAGGGAACAGAACTTCTGGTCTTGTCTTGTGATCTTGATGTAACCAGCACATTCCTCGCCATTCCTTGATTTTGCTACAGTCAGTCCTTTACACCCGCTGTCTCCAGTAATGCTCATTCTTTCCACCCTTGCTCTAGTGTGGCTTCTTATGCTCCCACAAGCATGCATTTCTATTTGTGTTTCATTCAGCTAAGAGTTAATATCTCCGTTTAAAATGTCTACTGCAGCTACAGTGAAGTAGTGCATGAGAAGGAACTTGTTGCTGAAGTTCCCCTGCTACAGCAATCTACATGCTGCAACCAATTAATGGCTGCAGGTCTGCTTTTCAATATAGGC